GTCTTCATCACCAGCCTCAGCATCTTCATCATCTTCTTCCTCGTCCAATAACATTGCAGCGTTTCTCTTAAACTCTTTAGTTTAACTGGTTAAAGTTCACTAAGATAAATATGATGATGGGGAAGACGACGACGATGATGATGAAAACAATGTAAACTATAATAATACTCATGATAAATAAGTAATTTAAATATCATATACCCGTACACAAACAAACATACATACGTACATTCATACATACATACATACATACATACATACATACACACATACATACACACATACATACACACATACATACATACATACATACATACATTCACATATACATACATACATACATACATACATACATTCACATATACATACATACATTGTGCAAAACAGTATTTTCATCATAATCTTCATTCATTCATTCATTCGTTCGTTCGCTTGTTTGTTTTCATGTGTAGTGTTTCCGAAGAGTTTGATATTGAGGTAGGCATACTTGTTATTTATAAATAATATAAAATACTGTTATAATCAATTATATTATAATTAAGTATAATTTTCATAATAATAACGTTGCTATAGGAGAGTTTTCACATTGTATCTCCACATAAATATTATTGTACTAAACCCTCCTTAGAGTTGTTTCAAGTATTTTCAATGCCAAAAACTCGAAAAATTTTGTTGCTACCACTACTACAGCTGCTGCTATTTCAGCTACTACTATTACTACTACAACAACTACTACTACTACTACCGCTACTACTACTATTATAAATATAATTATAATTATTATTATTTTCAGAACGTATCTATCCTATACACACGTCTGGATGAATAAAATGGAAAATATTGAAAATTAACGAAACAATAACAATAATAATAATAAATAATAATAATAAATAATAGTAATAAATAATAATAGCTATAGTTATAAAAAATAATAATTATTATTATAGTTTATCGTCATCCAGTATTCTCATTTGTCTATCCATCTATCGCCGTAAGCACAAGCACCAAGGTTAAAAATTATTATTATTTTCATTTCATCCATTCATTCACCAGTTCGTTCGTTCGTCATTCATTCATTCATCCATTCATTAATTCATTCATTCGTTCGTTCGTTCGTTCGTTCGTTCGTTCGTTCATTCATTCATTCGCTCGTTCGTTCGTTCGTTCGTTCATTTGTTCATCCATCTTATTGCTTATAAGCTATATGGATTGAATAGAGGTAAAGTAATAAAGGAAGATTGATTGATTGAGAGAGAGAAATATTTTTACATTTCTATGTCCAGTTAGTTTAACAATTTTGTGTCTAAAATTCAGAATCATCATCATCGTCGTCGTCGTCATCATCGTAACTTCACTGGCCACTGATGACGAAACACTTGAGTTATAGTTATAGTTAGGTAAATAGGCTCTCCGCGGCGTTGCATTGAAAAAATATTGAAAAAATGCGAGAGAGAGAGAGAGAGAGAGAGAGAAGGAGTGTGAAAGTATAATGAATGGAAAAAAATAGAAAAGAATGAGAGAGAGAGAGAGAGAGAGAGAGAGAGCGAGAGTTGTTGACAGAAGTGTGGGATATAGAACATGTTGGCGGAAGGAATCGATGATGCTAATACGCAATATGTTCAAGTCTGAAACTCTTCATTTCCTATTGTTTGGTACACACACACTTACTTCACTCACTCACTCCCTCACTCGCTCATTCATTCACTCATTCATTCATTCACTCATTCATTTATTCATTCACTCGTTCTGTTATTTTTTCATTCATTTTTCCATTTATCTAGTTACGTAAACCCCCACTCAATCACTCATAAAATACATTCAAGACGTTACAAATGAAACACGAGCACCGTTTGAAATTGAAACTAGGTCAAGCCACCGGACGAGGAGAGCCAATAGGAATCGAGCAAAATGGGTCAGGGCGAGGCCAAGAAGAAGGAGGGCTTGAAGAGGAAGAAGTCGAAGAAGGAAATAAAACAAGAAAAAAAATTGGAGATTGATGATTTAAAGAAAGAGGTTGATATGGTAAGCAGTCGTCTAAAATTATGTCTTCATTCCTTTGATTAATCGACTAATCTTTCATTCATTCGTTTACTCACCTATTCATTCATTCATTCATTCATTCGTTCGTTCGTTCATTCATCCATTCATTTCATTTTTCATAGGACGATCACAAGATAACTCTACCTGAATTAGCTCAAAGACTAGGGACAAACCTGGAGACAGTCAATGAATTCATTAATTTTTAAATTAAATATTTGTATCATCATCATCATCATCATTATTATTATTGTTTTTATTTTACAACTTATTTATTTGCACTCTTATACATAATTAATAACTTTCGATTGATTTCATTTGAATTTTATTTTTGAAAAAATGAAAGAATGTTCCCATGAAAGAATGAATGAAAGAATGTTCCCATCATCACCCCTTACCGGCAGGGCCTAACTCTTCAAAGGGTGAAAGAAATTCAAGCGAGGGACGGCCCAAACGCCCTAACTCCCCCTAAAACTATCCCCGAGTGGATGAAGTTTTGCAAGAATTTGTTCGGTGGGTTTTCCATACTGCTGTGGATCGGAGCGATACTCTGCTTCACAGCCTACTCCATTCTCGTCTCCACCACTGAAGACCCGTCGAAGGACAATGTGAGTGAGTGAGTGAATGAGTGAGTGAGTAAATGAATGAGTGAGTGAATGAGTGAGTGGATGAGTGAGTGAATGAGTGAGTGAATTAATGAATGAATGAGTAAATGAATAGAAGTAATGAATGTGCGAATGAAGGAATTAGGTTTTGTCTGAGTGAGTGAATATCAGTTAACGAGTCAAAACACCAAATAACTGACCATTTAACCAACCAACCAGCCAACCAACCAACCAGCCAGCCAGCCAATCAACCAACCATCCAACCAACCAACCATTCAACCAACCAACCATCCAACCATCCAGCCAACCAACCAACCATTCAATCCACCAACCCACCAACCAACCAACCAACCAACCAACCAACCAACCAACCAACCAACCATCCAACCAACCATCCAACCAACCATCCAACCAGTTATATCTTGGCATCGTTTTAACGGCAGTAGTCGTGATTACTGGAATCTTCAGTTATTACCAAGAGGCCAAGAGTTCGAAAATAATGGAGTCCTTCAAAAATCTTATTCCTCAGGTTTCGATAATCATCTTCATCGTCATCATTACTACCACCATCATCATTTTAATGACCATTATCATCACCATCATCATTACTATCATGACCTTAACTATCATCATCATCATCCAAAACCTCAGTTCGCAGTGGCAGTCCGCGAGGGAGTGAAGTACAACATTCACGCGGAGGAACTCGTTGTCGGTGACGTCATAGAGGTCAAGTTCGGTGACCTCATTCCGGCCGACATCCGGATAATCAATGCACACGGATTGAAGGTTATGATGATGGGGACGATGATGATGATATTGTTGATGATGATTGTGATAGAACTTACTATTTAGAAAAAGAAGGAGGTGAGGGTTATTTTTTTCATTTCGACTTTCGTCTTTTCTCTTCGCAATCACGACCATCATACTCATCATCGTCCTCATCACCATCATCATCATCATCCTCACCATCATTATCATCATTATCATCGCCACCACCACCGCCACCAGGTCGACAACTCATCGCTGACTGGTGAGTCAGAGCCTCAGACCAGATCACCCGAGTACACGAACGACAACCCTCTAGAAACAAAAAACCTTGCATTCTTCAGTACGAATGCAGTCGAAGGTACTGATAATGATCATCATCGTCATCATCATCACCACCATCATCATCGTCACCATCATCATCATCATCATCGTCTTCATCACCATCATCATAATCGCTACTTCCATCATTACCCAACAGGAACCGGAAAAGGAGTAATAATCTCGACAGGGGATCGAACGGTTATGGGGCGAATAGCGAACCTGGCCTCTGGACTCGATACCGGTAAGACGCCCATCGCCAGGGAGATCGAACATTTTATCGAGTTGATAACCGCAGTTGCGGTATTTTTGGGCGTGTCCTTCTTCATCATCGCCTTCATACTCGGCTATAATTGGCTGGATGCTGTTCTATTCCTCATTGGGATAATCGTCGCAAATGTACCTGAAGGCTTATTGGCTACAGTTACAGTAAGTGGGAGGAGTTATTTTTATTTGCACGTTTCTGATTGGCTGTGTATAGTTTTTTTTATTAACATTACTTTTAGGTATGCTTGAGTTTAACGGCTAAAAGAATGGCTATTAAGAATTGCTTGGTGAAAAACTTGGAAGCTGTTGAAACTCTGGGTTAATTTTATATAATGTTTCATCCATCCATCCATCATTCATTTATTCGTTCATTCATTCATTCATCATTCACTCATTCATTCGTTTATTTTACTTCTTTTTCATTGGTTCATTCACTCAATCAATCATTCCTTCATTCATTCCTTAAATCATTCCTTCATTCCTTCATTCAGGCTCGACATCAACGATATGTTCGGACAAAACTGGAACGCTGACACAGAACAGGATGGCCGTCGCCCACATGTGGTTCGATGAAAGGATTGTCGAAGCGCGAATGAGTGACGATAGACAGAGTGGGTGAATTATTTTCTCATTCACTCATTCATTCATTCACTCACTTACTCACTCACTCACTCACTCACTCACTCACTCACTCACTCACTCACTCATTCATTCATTCACTCACTCACTCACTCACTCACTCACTCACTCACTCACTCATTCATTCATTCATTCCTCTATTCAGACGTCGACTACGACCACACGTCACCAACGTGGCACGCCCTCTCACGTGTGGCGATGTTGTGCAACAGGGCAGAGTTCAAGGCCGACCAAGGTCATTTGCCCATCATCAAAAGGTCAGATACTGTAATTTACAAGACGTGTTTTAAGATAAATCTTCTCTGAATGAATGAATGAATGAATGAATGAATGAATGAATGAATGAATGAATGAATGAATGAATGAATGAATGAATGAATGAATGAATGAATGAATGAATGAATGAATGAATGAATGAATGAATGAATGAATGAATGAATGAATGAATGAATGAATGAATGAATGAATGAATGAATGAATGAATGAATGAATGAATGAATGAATGAATGAATGAATGAATGAATGAATGAATGAATGAATGAATGAATGAATGAATGAATGAATGAATGAATGAATGAATGAATGAATGAATGAATGAATGAATGAATGAATGAATGAATGAATGAATGAATGAATGAATGAATGAATGAATGAATGAATGAATGAATGAATGAATGAATGAATGAATGAATGAATGAATGAATGAATGAATGAATGAATGAATGAATGAATGAATGAATGAATGAATGAATGAATGAATGAACGA